ACACAACAATATACACACACACACACACATATATATATATATATATATATATATATATAGATAGATATATATATATACATATAGAATATTATTATTAATTTTTAAGTGTATATGAACACATTTCGGTGTTTGAATGTGATAGAATAACTCGTTCTATGCGTTGCCACATCTTGTTTGCCTATGCATTGCTTCAATCCGTTGTACTTTTTTCTTTCATGTGCAATGTGCAATGCACGCACGTTTGGTACTCACGCATGTTCAATGTGGCTTTATTTTCTTCAGAATTCAGCGATGATGAACCGATTAATGACGCAGATGAAGAGATGGAAGCCCCTGAACCCACTGGCGAGCCCCCAGAAGACCCTCCACTACTGTACTCTCGCAACAGGCCTGTAGTATACCGTAGCGAACGCTTTTGGGACGATGACTTCCCCGAAGAGATGGTATGCAAGGGTTTGTTCGTATGAACGCACGATCACGTCCACACTCACGGAAGGCCAGATTCTCAATTCGATGGACGATAGTGTATCTTACCGTTTCACCCCTACACTGTACTATTTATATATCATGTACATTTGAGAATCGTTCAAATCTGTTCTGAAGCCATGTACTGTAATCGATGCCTACGCCCACCTGATTACTTGCGAGACGCTTACACCCACTACAACCCCATTAATAACCCTAATTTACTTGTTATGTTACCCCCACAGGTGTGGCATCCCAGTGAGCGCGTGATGAAGACCGTGTACGCATTCTATTGCCAGGACCCAAAAGTGTGGACTATCTCCCGACTCGCCACTCACTTCGCTATGGCCCAGGTGCGCTCATGAGCATTTATGTATTTTACGTATATTACATTATACTTATTCGACAGCATATGCGGATGTGTCTATAGTACAATACCCGTATATTTACATGCGATGACCTTAGTGGGATCTTTTTGTACCTGCCACTAATCATAAGCATGTCAAGACCCCTTGACAACAATTCACGACCCCCTGGAAGTGGCTTATCGATGCTCATTCTGACTTTTATATTGAGTGGTGGCAACGCGACTCGTTCGCTGTATATATCTCCATGTGTATGGTCAATGTGTATGGTCATAGCCATATACAAATTGTACAGGGCCTGATAGATGTATTGTTTTTATGCACATATTTGATATCCTTGGCGAAATCAACTTCTGCAAAATGCGTATACGAAAACGTTGTCCCACACAAACTATGCAAGCATGTCTTTCTATCAGCGATGATATGCCCATTCGAGTCCTTAAAGACACGTATTCCAACTTTCTTTGAAGTTTAACGCTCTCTTGACAACAATGGTCTGTGCAAGATACTGGGCTGAGTTATATAGTAAGACAAGGGGTTAAGTTTAGCACTCACAAACAACAAACAGTGGGCCACGTAACACACAATCGGCTGTCGCTTTTGCGTTTCGTAAATGTTGTGTCGCTGATGTTTCCGCCCCGCTTCAACTGCTCCTCTCTCGTCGTGCGCAGTACTCACGGGTGATCCTTTTTAACTCACGAGTGATCCATGTTACTTATTTTTTTTGGCACACACTCAGGATACGGTAATGGGGCTGATCCAATTGATGGAAATGAGAGAAGTCAGTCTCAAAGAGGGCGTCGACCCCGAGAAGATTTGGGCCGAAGATCAGGTGCACACCATGATGGCGCTGGTGCCAGGTACGGCCTGCGTAGCTCAGGTGTCTGTATGTGCCTGTATCTAAACGGGGTGATATCTGTGTATATCCTCAATCATACACACGCCTATCAATACGTTAGGTTGTACACTTGTATACGTGGTTGATTCCGTTGAGTCCATTCATTCCGTCGGTGCATACTGTGATTGCCCTGGTTAGTAGTAGCTCTTGTCTAGGGTATAGTACCACATATGTGGTCGTACACACGTTTTATATCCGTGTATGAGTTCTAGGACCATGCTCACTATGTCGGCGTTGGTGCCGGCTCTAACACTATGGGAGGGGCTTGGCACCGTCCACTGTGTACAGCTATGCTGAGTCCCATTCTGAGGGGTTGATATATGTAGGTATTGCTATGATTCTACATCACACATGCCTTTATGGTTTTAGCGATGTGATCTAAGAACAAAGGATGCCATATTGAGAGTTGAGTTTCCGGGGTGGGATGATCTGTCCATGATTGGTTACATACGCGTCCAAATACCAACTGTCAGCACAATGTCTACTTTTACACAGGTGCGTGCACATAGTTGTATGTGCGAATCACATATACATACATACATACATACATACATACCTACATACATGGCTACATACATACACATACATAATCTGTTAATCTCAATCTATTGCCCGTACAGGGGGTAGAAACGCGCCCCCCTTGAAAATCAACGATAACGAGATCTACGACTACAAAAGTGATGGCGAGCTCGACAACGAGGAAGAACCCGAGTACAAAGTGGTGTACCGTAAGACACGCATACCAGGCGAGCAGGTGCTCAGGCAAATGGCCACAATGATCGGATGCAACGACAACTATGTATGTTATTTGAAGCTGTATGTAGGGGTATTTCTGTGTGTGTGTTTGTGTATATATGCAGGTGTGTATATGTATGTATGTACGTATGTACGTATATATATATATATATGTATGTATGCATGTGTATATGTGTGTATGTGTGTTATGTATCTATGTATGTTTGTATATATGTATGTACGTATGTATATATGTATAGATGTATGTATGTATGTATGATATATATATATATATAGCATTTGTATTTGTATTTGTATTTGTAAGGTTAGGATTATGTAGAGATATCTGGTTTGTAAATGCCTTGTTTTTCGTGCGTGCCCGGTATCTGCATTCTGAATATCACATGCATACATCCGAGTATGAAGTAGTGTCTTGTATTATACGTATCCTGGGTGAAAAGGACAAAGAAGGTCACACTGTTGGGTACAACGACAGTTATGCAAGATTTGTGGCTTTGTGTGCGTACGTAATAGTATTGTTGTGATATAAACATATAGTGGACGCATATAAATATGGTACCGTGTGCGTACATGTGTGGGATTAGTAGTCAATGTCTGCGGATGTCTCTTCTGCGTTGTTCTGTGTCGACCTTACATATCAACTGTACGTATCTCGTGCATAAGCGCATATTTGTTCACACTTCTATACACATATACAGCACACGCTACCATCGTTCTCTCATTAGCCCGTTATTAGTTCAATCATCATAAGTCGACATTAATCTAGCTTGTTTATTTCATTGTATCGTACTTACTGTCACTTATCATTCCGACTGTACGTCTTGTCTGTGTAGATTGGGGATGTTGGGCCACCCGAGCCTATCGTCGTGTGGAAGACGGGTAAGAGTGCGCCGCACTTTACAGTGGTCGACGATGACGATCTCGAATCTGTAAGTCATCAACTATTACGCACATCACATTACTATTCTCTTCAATGTACTTATATATATATATATACATATGATGTATGTATGTATGTATGTATGTATGTAAATATGTA